TACAACAATTAAAACTAGTTCACATACATTATTAACCGCCAAAACAATGTTAAATTTTCTAACCGGATTTGTCTGTAACGACTACCTTTTCTTGAGGACTCTGGTTGTGAGAATAGAATTCCTGCATATTTTGGTGTCATTTACCAGCCACAGCATCCAGGGGGTCATCAACCCTTAAACGCAACATGAGAGTACTCCAAGCAACGTACGTTATGCCTCCAACGATTCCAATAACGAAGGAAGCATAAGGATGGAAGACATTACAGCCTGAGCACAGGGACACCTGAGAAACAAACACAGGTATTCTAGTTTCTGTTTAGTGAAACAACTAGAGGTATTTGTACTCTTGTAGATGAGATCATAGTCAAAAAAGCCATGTGGCTTACCAATACGATCTGCCGTTTACAGTCCTTGGCGAAGGCGAAAGTTAAGTATCTTTGCTGAGAAATGCAACACAGTATCCTACCCGGGGCTTTCACCCAAACCTCTTGGTTGAGACTCTAAATACTCAAACCGGTTTGTATATGCTACCGAGCCTTCGAAAGCTATTATCTGATTTCATATCCATATACTAACAAATGAGCTATGCTATCAACGTTTTAAAAAGGAGGTATTTGAGAATATAACCCAATTAGCGTTTATAGTCTCACCATTCCAGTAAGTCCACCATTAATGGTAAAAAGCAAACTCCAGTATTTCTCCGCATATCCCAAGCGCTTGATTAACAGGGCAGTCAATGCACCCGCGGCTCCTAAATAATAATGATAAAAATAATAAAACAGATTTAGTGTCTTGAAACTGAAAGAAAAGTTGAAATAGCTTAAAGCTGCGACATTTGACGTAATTTGAATGCATGGTAAGTATAGCTCACCTCCAATGATAGTGTTCGTTATGACCAGGGCCACAGTGTCTCCATCGCCCGGATTGGAAATGGACACCAAGGAACCTCCGTTGAATGCCAGGAAACCAAAGAACAGAATGAATCCTCCCAAGGCTGCTGTCTTAAGATTGCAAAAGGAAAAAAAAAGTTCTGAAACTCTGTCTTCGCCCAAAACGGCTGTAAACGTTGGAATATTGGTGAACTTTAACAAATAAACATTAAAGGATAAGCATCTAAACAACGCTCACAATATATAAGAGAAAACTGACGATGTATTAGGCTGGCTTGAATTGTATTCTCGGTTTTTGTTAAAAGCGAGGCACAGTATTTTGGAGGAGTGTTGACCTAGAACAATGCTCTCTCTTCTATTTACATTAATATTCAGTGTTTTCTTGTGAGTTTTTCTGAGAATCAGACAAGTGTGCTTTCAATTTCCAAGAATGC